GTGTCGTATAAAAAGCACAATAACCAGATCAAATAATCGCGATTAGACAGTTATTTAATTATCGCGACAGCCCTACTTCCGATTGCCGTCTAATGTGTATTTTGGCCATGTAATGTTGCTGAAATTAAATGTTATAGCCTCTGAGTCAGAGCAGCGATCATGGAAGAGAGAACACAAGCAGACAGCGCTGGAAGCTGCTAATGCTCATCAGTAAATCAGTGGAAAATTAATAGAAATCATGATTCTGTCTGAGCTATGCGTTTTAAAACGAACACGCACTAGTGTAAATGTAGCCTAACAGATGTGTAAACTGAAGACTATTTGAGCTTTATTAAAACTATTTTGCACTGATTTGTTGTGTTGGTTACATTTTGTTCCTTTGTGCAGTGGCTCAGGAGATGAGTCTTTGAGTTTGTATAAACATCAACAAGCTGAAAAATAAAACCAAAGTTTTTTTTTTTTAGATAATGTAATCTTGTTAAAATTGATTTCATAAAATTGGTATCGAAAAAAGTATCGTTCAGGAACCGGTATCGAAGTCAAGGTATCGGTATCGAAAATTTTTGAACGATACCCAGCCCTAAATAATAATAGTATTTGTAAGGAATATCACACAACTAAGATTTATTTTTCATTCATGTTTAGGGTTGGGTATCGTTTGAATTTCAATTCAGATTCTGCTTATCGATTCAGATTCTTTTCAATTCCCAGTTTCAATTCCAATGTGATTAAATAATGATATCAAACATTTATCCTGTGTCTCTTTTTTGCAAACCATTTATTGGAGCTGAATACCATGAACAAAAATCAACAGGCTACATAAAAACTGGATTCTTTAAGAGCTGTTTGTGTGCAAAATACAACTGCATGATTCTGGATAAATCGATTTATTTATTTTTTCCCCAATGGAAGTTGTGGTTCTCTCATGATCTCATGATTCTACATTAGACAACTAAACAAAATCACATGTAATTTATGAATTAATGATCTTTAATTTGAAGTTCAGAACATTTACGACAGCAACATCACCCACTAGAGCATTGAGAAGCTTCAGGCTCAGTGTCTTGTGAGTGTGTGTTTATGTAAGACAGAGATGAGTCACAGTAACTCTCCTGTTCCAAGCCTGCAGCCACACACATACACACACACACACACCATTGTTTGAGGTGGTTGTTTCAATATGACAGTCATGGGCTCACTGATAATTCATTCATATTTGCAGATATCAACAGAGCCACAGCAAACACTCTGAATTGGATTGAGAAGCATTTTGTTATTTAAAACTACTGATTAAACCAATTAATGTGACATTTTTTCAATTATTGGCACTGGAAAAGCAGATAGAAAATGAACAACCACAGGTTATTCTTTACATTCTATTAAAAAAAACTGATGACAGACTCATCCAGATTTGTAGCATCACATATCCAGCTCATGATGAAAATAGCCCTACCAATCCTTCAGCCATTGATAAACCAAATCAGTCACATATTAAAATACATGGCCTCAGTTAGACTGCACTTCTGTGAATGTCAACTACAGTCAATCACACATAGCTTTTATAAATACATAAATATAAAAAAAAATAAAAATCCATATAAATTCACTAGCTGACCTGCCTAACGGACTAGTCAATTATTAAACAACAAGTCAAGAATCCCTGAGCCAGTCCTAACAGAGAGGGGTTAGAGTAAAGAAATAAAGTTCAGTCATTAATGCGTCGAGCCACAGGGTGGATTTGAGTCTGCCAGCAGCCAAGACTCAAGGTGTGTGGTCCCACATCCCTGCCAGTGTATATGGCGCTCTCTGCCATTTCCTCGTGCTCACATTAAGTGCCATCTTTATTCAGTGAGCACTTCCACGTTAAACGAAGAGAGCCGTAAAAATCTTTTAAAGCCCCCAAAAACAGCACAGATGCCCACAGTACACACCTTGTTTCCACGTGAGTGGAGTTTAACAGGTCCTGCCAGCACTGAAGGCTGCAGGGAAGCATTCGGCACAAGAGCCATCTGCTTCACGGATGCCTTCCGTTAAACGATTTTTATAGCCCAGTGATACATGCGCAGTCAAACATAGCATTCATATGGTGGTAGGAAATCCCTTCCGTCAACAAGACCGTCAATATCCCTCTTCATGAATATAATAAACACCAGCGGTGCCGAGCATCAGATTACTAACTACACAACCGCTTGGCTCTGCAACCAGGATAGCAATTCAATACCGGTACGCCTTTTAACTAAATGAAAAGAATGCAGGTGAATTGTCAGGTTGGTGCACTTGGCTAGCATATACCTAGATTTCAAAGTAAAACAAGCTGTCTGGATTTGGTGACACTCAGACTAATGCTGTAGAAATGGAGCAGATGGAGGCGGATGAGACCCACAAGACCCCTACAGTGCCTGTGCTCGTCTCAGACAGTCTGGTGTTTGTGCAGCATCACAAAAATCCAATCAAAAATCAATAACTGTAAATCACACACAAAATGAGGCCTTTTTTAAAATGTCTATATAGTTTATAGAATTTTTTTAGTCTATATAATTTTTTGTAGTTTTAGTACTTCAAGGTAAACTAAATCAAAATATTTATTTATTTATTTTATTTTAAGCTATAATAACCCTGGGATAAATACAATTTGAGGATCATGCCACAACCATAGAAAATAGTGTAGACTCATTTTTTAGTTTATAAAAACTAAACTACGTAAAACAACATTACAAACCCATATATGTACATTTACTAGGGATGTAACGATTAACCGCGAGCCAGTTTGAGGTGGTTGTTTCAATATGACAGTCATGGGCTCACTGATAATTCATGAATATTTGCAGATATCAACAGAGCCACAGCAAACACTCTGAATTGGATTGAGAAGCATTTTGTTATTTAAAACTACTGATTAAACCAATTAATGTGACATTTTTTCAATTATTGGCACTGGAAAAGCAGATAGAAAATGAACAACCACAGGTTATTCTTTACATTCTATTAAAAAAAACTGATGACAGACTCATCCAGATTTGTAGCATCACATATCCAGCTCATGATGAAAATAGCCCTACCAATCCTTCAGCCATTGATAAACCAAATCAGTCACATATTAAAATACATGGCCTCAGTTAGACTGCACTTCTGTGAATGTCAACTACAGTCAATCTGAACATATCTGATGTGTAAAATACAGCTATGAGGACCAGTTTGGATCAATAAGAATAAGACCGAAACTGCGGCTGGTTAAGAAAAAAGTGCTCAGATTCCCCACTGGCTCAAAATAGATTTAACAAAATAATAGCAAATAATAGCAAAATAGCTTTCATATCAAAATCACAGTCAAGCAGGACTGTACAGAATAACATATGCAGAAATTAAACAAGCCACAAGGGAACCAATAAAGTGTGATCGGCACATTGGAAATCCATTACATTTCCAATGAGTAAAGTGGAAACAATGTCCCAGTTCTGGTTGTGGTGTTCTGCTGCAATCTGTGATCAATTATAGTGGGAAAGAAATCGAGTTCACCCAATGGAGGAAACGAGACATCTCCATCCAGTGCTTGACTTTCTCACCCTCCAGATGGAAAATAAAAACAATCAGCAGCGGCCCAGCCCTCGATGACGATCACATCTCTGAAGTTTCCCGTCCTTCAATAAATCTATCCATCCCTACTCTCAGAGCAACAATGCAGATCTATCTGAAAAAGAGGCTAAACGGACAACACCAAGTGGAAAGAGTGAAGGCATTTTGCTGAGAAACTCTAAAAGGAGGGGAGATTTCTTAAGCAGATGTCTTTTGTCGACTAGCTGGAACGAATTTCAGCAGGCTAGTGGGACGTAACGCTTTCAAGAGGAATGATTTTTCAGGCTGCCTTTTTGACCCCAAACAGCAAGTAAAAGCCCTGACCGCAAGCATGTACAGCAATCCCTCGAATGCATCTTCTAATAAACAGAAGAGCACACAGACACATGCCGCTAACCCCAAACACGCATCTCCACTGCCCTGGCTGGGCTCCAGAGGCAAGAGCTCAACAACTAGACGCGTGTGGCTTCTATAAATACATCCACAAGCTGGATGTGAACATGCGACGGGCTCGAGAGCATATTTGTTCATTTTTATAAACAATGTTTTCTGTAAATGATTCTGATTTCTGTCTGTTTTCTGAAATGAGTTTCTGTGGTAACAGACACAGATGCCGTCAATAGAGCTTACGCTGGATTTCATTTGAAGTATTCTTCTAAATAAATAGACTTTGCCTAAATAGAAAAAAACAGTATGATTGTGACGTGCTGAGATTATACATGTAAATACGGAATTTGCATTTGCTAAATAACCGAGAAATTAATCAAAAATGAAGGAAATGATCCAACCATGGAACAAAAACCAGCATAAAAACCAAGATCTGATCCTCTACTAATTCCTGTCATACAACATTTGGCCACTAACAGTCAAACTAACAGCCCACATGTCATTTCCTCTGAACAAGCACAGGCAAATGTTGTTTTGGTCAAGTGAATCAGTGGAATCAGCAGCTGTATGCCTCAGCTCTCAGAGATTTTATCACATTATGTGCATGTTTTTAGAAGTGATAAAGCTTGTAAGCATTGATGATCGCTGAACAGGCCAAGAGGATGAGAAAATTGGTAGTGGAGCGAACAGAGATGGGACAGTAGTATTGTGCAACTGCACAATAAATCATTTTAAAGTAAATAATTTCTGCAGCACTAGCATCATCAACCTGCTTGTGACAAAAATTAGTTCATCTGAATAAATGAGGTGGGATAGGAAAAAAATTAATTAAATTTTCACATAAGCATACATATACATATATATAATGCCTCAGCTCTCAGAGATTTTATCACATTATGTGCATGTTTTTAGAAGTGATAAAGCTTGTAAGCATGAGTTACCTTAAAGAATATCTCACCAGGTTGAGCGAAGAATTGATAGAAGCTATTTGGGAGATTAAACCGCCAAAAAATATTAAATAATCTTTAAACAGGACTTACTCTGATCGCCGCCGAGCTTCCATGCCATCTGGTAAGAAGAGCTTGATGGTCGACACTATACAGCCATGAGTGACTAAAAACAAGAGAAACATGAATTAGGGATGTATGTATGACACCAGTGGTTTTACAAAAAAAAAAAAATACTATTTTCATAACAAGAAACTACAAAGCTACAGGTTAACACAAACATGAACAGGCCATATGAGGCTGTCTAAGAAGCTTACATGTCTTAAAAGAGAGTGTTTTATGATCAAAAATATCCAGAGACTGATAAAAAATTCCTGACGTTCTGATGAGACGCAGTCAAGTTGTGCCGCAACAACGCAAAGACTTAAACACACAACACACAAATGTGACAGGAACCAAGGTTCCAAAGAAAACTGGAATCTAATTTCAATACCTCACCAGTTAAAATACAGGTTTTCTTGTTCATATGTACTTTCGTTTTGTTATGAAGTAATATTTGCCTTCATTCGTTCTAAAGGGTAAGTTACTTTGCATTTGTATCTGATTGTGAAAGCGTCCCATTGCATGTACTTGAGTTACGACACATCCAGAGCATCAACCAGCCAGCGCTCTTGGGTTTCAAAAGCCCATCTCTGCATTACAGCATCTGACAAAAGTGCAGTATGTAATGTAACAGGCTGCAAAATTAATAATATTACTTTTAGAAATGCACATTTGACAGTAGCTCGAGTTGACAGCAGTAGCTTGAGTTAGGATGCAGATGTAAATTTGTTCATTATCAAAAACTGTAACATCTGTAAAAACTGTAACAACCTCATTTTTATATGGTGAAATTTGATTATTCTGACTGTTTGAGTTTTATTAATATTAACCATTGGTCTTCCAGATTCACATACATTTATATAATGATAACCATAGTTAAAACCTCAATACCATGGTCAAAATGTTTCTGATAACGCTATTGCTTAATCAAAAAAAAAAATACTGTAATTATATTCTATTAATCCTTTAATACATTTAATACACGTGTACATTAATAATTAGAGATGCACCGATTGCAATTTTCTTTCCGATTTTTTTGTGTGACCTGCCTATACAGATTTTTGCCGATTCCGATTATAGAACTATAATTGACAGCAAATATAAACAAAAAATCTACTTTTTTCAATGCAAAAAAATTATTTATATAATAAAGGAAATTATTAAACATTACAATTCCCCTAATCTGGACTAAGTTTTCTTACTTAAACAACTCTCAAAATAAAGTGCTCTGTGAATGGAAAGAGGTAGAAATGAGATGCTGTATAACAAAACAGATGTCATTTCCCACTATGTTTATACATTTTTTCCCTAACCTTATAAAATGTGTCATCTTTCACATCAAATTCTTACATTTTTTCAATAAATTCAGTTAGAATAATAAGAAACTGTAGAGTTGTAAATCAGAATGTAAAAATATAATATTTACATTCATATTTTATATATTTGTTATAAATATATTATAAATATAAAATTATATATATATATATATATAAAACATATAAACATTAAATATATACAGATTTCGTAAATATATATACATACATATACATATATATATATACATATAAGGGATGCTCCGATCGATCGGCTGGAGATCGGTATCGGCCGATAATCACATTTTATGACTCGAACGGTACTCACTAACTTGGCCGACCTCACGAACCGATCGCAATTTGATGACGTCAACACGTGACGACGTTCATGATGTGTGGGGACATAAATGATTTGGCACCACAGTCATGTCATCACCGGTGTGGAAATGCTATGACGTTTCGAGAAACAATGAAAAATTCACTATTTGTCGTCGTGTATGTTTTGCATGATGATATGATGACTGGATGGTTCATTTTTAACAGCAGTTTCAGTGACGTTAGAGCTGATCTGCGCATCACTGCATACGTCTGCGGAGCATTATGGCTCCACGGGAACAAACTTTATCTGGAATGTCACCGTTTCTGTCACTGCAACTTCCTGATCAGGCGAACGAACACACACACACACGAAATCGTCTGCCTCATGAAAAATGTAGTTAATATTTGCATCATTTATGACTTATTTTATCCACCCGCGACCCACCCACAAATAATCAGAATGCATTTTTTATTACCCGTCCCGCAGATTATCCGCAGCGCCCGTGGATATAGGAAAAGCAAATATGTTTCAGATGGACTTACTGAAAATGCAAATTCATTCTCTGCCAGCAGGAGGTGCTTTAAAGCGGGAGAAACAGGTTTCCCCAGTAACGGCTGTACACAAAGCAGCGCTGAGCTCACAAATGCTGCTTTATCAGGCATATAACATGCAAGATGAAATGAAAATGACATAAAAAATTTCTAAAGATAGTCTTCCTTCAGAAATACAGTGATATAAAAACAGCCGCGCCTCGTTTATATTTTTAAACGTGCAGTACGTGCTCATGTTTATTCAACGAAGCCTTTTGGAAAATCGGTCAGTTTTTATATTGTGCCGATCACCACAAATAAATAAATGATAACACGATAGCGATAACACCAAATTTAACACACCTGCTCCCCATTCACACCTGAGACCTTGTAACACTCTAATACTTTTTCTAAACTCTTTACTGAAAACTTCACCGGCTTATTGGAGCGAGTTGAACAGGACTTAAAGCGCTGGGCCCCGCTTCCTTTATCAGTCGCAGGTCGAATAAATTCTGTCAAAATGAATGTGCTGCCTAAGTTTACCTATCTGTTCCAGTGTATCCCAGTGTTTATTCCTAGTTCATTTTTTCGTAGGCTGGATAAGTTTTATCTAACTGAAAAAAAAAAATATATATAAATATTAAATGAAAACTTAAAAAAAAAAGAAAAAGAAAAAAAGGTTGAAATAAAAGTTTAAGTACTAAAAATAGGTCTGAAATAAAAATGTATGCAGTACAGAAATATTTTTTAAAAAGCTAATAAAAATGACAAAAGCACATAATAAAATTACTAAAACTGAAACTAAACTGAAATATAAATATTAATAATTCAAATATTAATAAATAGTATAAAATTAGAACAACTGCATTTAACAGAAATAAGTTTAAATACTAAAATGACTGACACCAATAAAAATTAACACTATACAAAAATATTTAAAAGAAATAACTATTAAAATGATTTTTAAAAAATGCTTTGACTGCTGAAAATAACCAATACTGTCCTTAAGTGTTGACCAGGCAAGCTCTCAACTGATTTACTCCGCCACATGATTGGTTTGAGCTGCACACATAATAAAAAAAACAGCCACTAACTGGCTTTGAGCCGTCATGAATTGAGATTGTTTCGTGTACTTTTTGGAACTCCCTGAATTTCCTCGCTCAGCTGGATGAATAGACTCACTGTCAAACACAACTACAGTATGAGTGACATTCATTAATTCCACCAGCATCCCACATCACACGTGGGCATCGCTGCTAACAGGTTCATCGGGTTAAGCCACAGGATGAATGCTGTCTCCTTCAATGCACCCAGATCAAGGTTATGCCTTGATAAGACCCACAAACCTGACTTTGAGGAAACAGCTAACAAGCATTTTACTTCACATTATGCTACTGATTGGCCATATGATCGAGCCAGAGTCACATCCTCCATCATAGCGGTAGTGAAATGTGATATCTGTGTTTGTCTTACGTGTATTTTGGCATGGAGACTGCATGACATTGGTGATGCATCTGTTCGTAAGCAACCAGCTCATTTAGAAAAAACACAGATTAGCTCATGTGCATAAAGAATTAGGTCAGTTTTGATTCAGAAATACATCTTTATCAAAGCCAGGCAAGAGAAACGTAATGCATGCAGAAGCAGATCGGCCTCTGGTTCACATAAGCTCAAGGTTTGATATGCCACATTTAGCAGGATCCTACATACGGTGCTTCAATTTTCCTTAGTGACTTTAAAAAACCAGAACTAGTAAATGTAGAAGCAAACGAGAAAAAATGGAGAAACACAAATGATACAGCATATTCCCTCCTATTTCCTCTTGCTAACGGTTGTGCTGACTGTATTCTGAGGTTATTGTGGTCGCAGATCTCATATGTTTTACATTTGCTCAATTTTCTAAAAGCCCATAATGTTAATGTCATTTATGCATAAGCAGGAACTGAGTAAACATGAGATTAATGAAACATGATGATAGGCAGCACTATATGTAAGCAACATTATAAGCAACCAAAATATTAACATTTTATACTTCAATTAGATACTAACAAACAATATCTACTGATATGTTAAGAATTATTTAATGAACATATAAATACAGGTAATATTATAAAATACATTTGAATTAGTTCTACACTAATGCAGGGATTCCCAAACATGTTTGCCAGCAAAAGCCCTTATGACAAAATATTTTCATCAAATACGCCCTGAGATTTTAAGGCAATTAATATTTCAATAATTTAACAATGCTCTGGGCTTCTCTGATGTTGGTTAATGGTCACATGGCATGCAGGTAAACAAATATGTAATATTTTTTAGTAAATGTTTTATTTAGATTTTTTTTCATCTAAAATTAATATTTTAAAAATTATTTAAAAACTGTAAATTATTTATTTACATATTAGGGCTGCATGATGTGGTCAAAAAATTATATTTTGTCATTTATTAGTTTGAACTGCAATATGATAGACATTTAGGCAAAAAAAAAAAGACCACAACAACAACACCAACAATACAATTATTTTATTAAATTTACTCTAATTATAAAAAAAATAAGACAAAAATCTATTACTACTGTAATAATTCAACTGTACTTTAAAATAAAAATTGGTGAGTATTTTATCATTTTATTTTACACCAGTTTAAAACAATACTGTCAGATGAACTACAAACTACTTTACAACTGTTGTCTCTTTTTTTTCACCAGCCTTACTTGATAGTGTAAAATACTTCATGTGTGATTTCTAAGCTATGATTATAAAGTCAAGTGGTAGGGAGGAACTTCTGCTCGCCTTCATTTATCAACAGCTGGTGCGTTAAATATTGATTAAATATGCTGGGACACATCACTAATGCACCTGCATGTGTCACAGTGACTGTCAAGTGGCTACTACACGGGGGGTGAGTGAAATACAGAGAGAGGGAACGAGTGAGCGAGAAAGAGAGAGGGCTGATTTTTCTGTCAGGGATTCGCCCCCAGATCCCATCGTCAAAGAACACATTAGCATTCCCAAAGAGAGCCGGCGCTGCCACCAGCCTTCTGCCTCTAATGGCCTCTAACACATATCTGACTTGAACTTATTCAGCACATCTCTAACAGGTGACAGTATTCCTGAGAACAGCGTGAAGGTCATCATTCATCCTATAAGAAATCTCTTTATATTCTACCTAACCGAGTCCATGTGCAGACTGGAACTATTTTGAGTGCAGGTTTTATATAAGCTGTACAGAAAGGCAGTATTACCCTGTGCAAACAAGAGCAGAGAAGATTTGTGCAATTAACACTTCCAACACTGATAATTAAAAGGAATCATGTGAAGGAAGGAGGTGGAACATCAACTTCAGTTCTGCTGGTAGAATGGTTTAAGCAAGACATCTCTATGCTATTTGGATGGTTACACCTGTTTAGAGAGCTGTCAGATACAAGACAACTAATATAGTAATGAATGCTATGCTCCTTTATTAAAATTAAATATGAATGCAATATTAACAAATTAAATAAAATGTCTTAATATTTGCAAAAAGTAGCCTTCAACTATTTCTCAAAATAAACAAAGCAAATGTTTTTACAAGTAATTACTAGGGTTGGGTACCAAACTCGGTACTTTTAAGGGTACCGACCGAATTGCGTCGGTACTACCGAGTACCGATTCACGTTAAATCAATAAGAAACAGTCTGGTTGTTAATGTTGTCCGTTATTTTTGTTAACTAAAAAAACATTTTCTTTACTTCAAATAAAATAAACATTAACTGCAAAAAAAAACGTGCAAAGCCAACATTTTTCATTTTAATTTAGTTTAGCGAAATCAGTTCTTCTCTTTTCTAGTCAAAATAGTAGAGCTGCACGATTAATCGTTAAAAGATCGCAATCTCGATTCAGACAACCACACGATCTCATTTCTAAATGACAACGATTCTCCCGTGTCTATTAAACCTTTGACAAAGTCTTACCGGATCATTCAAATCTGCGTTCGCACTGCCGCTGACACACAGAGAGCAGTTACCATGTTTGGTTAAGAAACAGCTTCACAAACAGTCTTTTCAACTACACAGTATTATTTCTGTCGTACATTATTTCATATTATTTCTGTTCTGTCATTCATATTATCACAGAAATACTGGGATGAAAGTTTATAATTCAGATATAAACATTGATGTCTATGGTAGCGCGACCAAAATAGAGCAAATCCGCGTTTGATAGTAACTGCCACATAACGTTTGTGTCGATTACATTGTTTCGCCACTAGGTGGCGAAAAGTGACTTAATGTATAATTGAATTAATCATTTATTCAAGAGAATCGTTCAAAAACGCTGATTCATCCAGTAGGTTTATGAGTGAGTCGTTGAATCATTGATTCAAACAACTTTTTCATAATTTTAATATTAAATTGGTGTATTAAATATATTATATTTTAAATACATATACACTACCAGTCAAGATTTTTAATGTTTTTTTTAAAGAAGTCTCTTCTGCTCACCAAGCCTGCATTTATTTGATCCAAAGTACAGCAAAAACAGTAACATTTTGAAATATTTTTACTATTTAAAATGTAATAATTTTAATAAATTTAATAATGTAATTTATTCCTGTGATTTCAAAGCAACATTTATCTGAAATAGAAATCTTTTGTAACATTATAAATGTCTTTATCATCACTTTTGATAAATTTAAAGGATTCTTTCTAAATAAGAGTATTAATTTATATGTTTAGTTCAGAATCGTGATCTCTATTTGAGACAAAAAAAAATTGTGATTCTCAATTTATCCAGAATCGTGCAGCTCTACAAAATAGTACAATAGCTCACATCATACTGTCTGTGTTAGTCTCCCTTAATCATATCAGCCAAAAGCCATGAGATTTATTTCATGAGAACAGCTCTGAAAGCCAACGCTGAGATCTTGAAGGAATGCAGAGTTCAAGCTTCAAAAGCAAGTCTAAACCTAAATCACTCCTACCTGAAAAGAGCTCCATCCAGGGATGGAAAACAAACGGCCTGGATGGGGAAATTAACATCGATCGGAACAGGCTGTGTAATGCAGGTCAGCTATAGCAAAGACACTAACCCGGTAAGCTTGGTTACAGCAGGTCAGGCAATAAAGTACCCTTAACCTCAATCCTCAAGAACCAGGCACATCAATAAGAACCTGGAAAGCTTCTCATTCGTGCTGGAAATATGAGGCATGTAAACACTACTTTAACACAGTAAACAAATGTAAAACTGCTTGCAAGTAAACCTGAATGAAGGAAAATGTCTTAGTTACTGCAGCAAAAACACTTACTATAAACAGATAAAGTGCCAGTTTCCTCTGAACGTTCGATCAGATGCAGTGGAGTTTTAAAATTCGCTACCAGCTACAGAATGACTCAAGCCTTAGTGTGGTTTAAGATTTCAAAAGGCTTTTAGTCTTTGAAGAAAAAAGACAATATATTGACAATTTAAAATGACAAGGACAGGTGATGTTTATTCATTTTAGTCCATTTTACTCTAAAATCATTAACTAAAATGCAACTAATTTGCAAAATGGACTAAAAACTGTCAAGCTGTAACAGAAAACTTTAACAAAATATTCAAACATTTTAGTTGAGTATTAAATTGAATTAAATTGATTGACAATGAATAAAAGAAAGCAATGGCATATAGGGCTGTGCAAAAAATCGTATGCGATTTTCATGCGCATCTCATCAGTAAAGCCGCTCCTGTGATTCATGTGCAATATTCAGTTTAAATGTAAAATGCTACATTATGTTACATTTAATACATAAATAACTGATCAATTGAATGCTTTTCTATAACATAAGTGCAATAATATATTGCAGCGCTGTTTGTTTTCAAAAACTAAATTAAAATATTCAATGTATTTATTCATTTTTTTCATCTTCATTTTGCTGATAAACTAAAAGAAAAACAGGATTAAAACTACATAGTTCAAAAAAATACATGAATACCTTTTAACATTTAATACATAAATAACTGATAAATTTATTGCTTTTATAATATATTGCAATGCTGTTTGTTGTCAACAACTGAATTAAAAGATTCAATTATTGTATTTATTCATTTTTCAAAAACATAAACAACAAGATTAACACTACACAGTTCAAAGAACTCAAAGCCTCCAATATTTATTTACAAAGTCAATATACACTCATACTGCTAAAACATCCATCAAAAAACACCTTATTATGATTCACCAGCCAATAATCAATATCAACTTCACTTCTGAGGTTCTGGCCAATATCTGTGTTTCCTAAAAGCCTGGAGTCTGTCATTCTCAAATACTATGAAAGCTCTAAGAACTTAATAAAAAATAAGGCCAAAATGTTTATTCCATTAAAGTCTTCCATCATTAGCTTTTCAAAACACCAGAGCGAAGGCTCAGGCCTGGATGGAAGCCCATTCATTGAACTACCTTGAGAATTATAGGAAATAAAAGAAAGCACACTTCTCTGTCAGATGTACACATTTCACTGTCTGAATGGACTGGAATAATATTTACATTTAATCATTTAAAGTGAACATCACAGGCAATCTGTCAAAAGAATCCGCATCTATAGTACAATGAGCCAAATTAAAAATATAAACTAGATTAGTACAAAAAGCTACAGCAGAGGTAAGATGCAGAAAACAATGGCATGAGAGAGGGATTTTTAATGACCAGGCATAATAATTAGAGCCCGACCGATATGGGTTTTTTGGGGCCGATACCGATATTTGGGAGTAAAAAAATAGTACAGTACCAGTCAAAGGTTTGGACACTTTTCCATTTGTGTGTCCAAACATTTGACTGGTACTATATATAGAATACAGTATATACATAAACAGAATATATATACATAAACACATTTTTTGCAATGATCACTCAAATGTGGTGATCAAACACTTATAATGACGTGACAAAGATATGTAATGATGGAGGCAGGGCATTTAACAACTTAACAAACTTTATTCAAAATGAGTCTGACATCAGTGCACTAAACAGTAAAGTTGAAGTTTATTCAACTATAATTCAGTTCAATTCAGTTTTTCACTTCGAAACATCGATGGAGGCAGGTCATTTAACAACTTAACAATAAACTTTATTCAAAATGAGTCTGACATCAGTGCACTAAACAGTAAAGTTGAAGTTTATTCAACTTTAATTCAATTCCATTCAACTTTATTCCGTTGAAGTTTATTTCACTTTGGAACATTCATTCACGGATTTGCGCTACTGTCTTCACACACAGACGAAACTTACTAGAGAAGTGTGAAGTTTGACATAATTTACCTCTGTAAATAAATATAAATTCACGTCTCCCGCACTTTAATGCCCTTTAAATGTAACGTGTACGTTCCCTTGGAACTACAGCACTGTAGAAGTATGTCAGAGCTTTGTGTGGTGTTGAAAACTTCACATTTAAGAGATTATGACAGCATGGATTTGCATATGATCCAATTAAGATGTCTCTCATTTAATATTATTAATTGTGTTGTCAAGATCTCATTAGATAACAGCGCTCGCACAAGAGATTTTTCCAAATCCCTATGATTTGTATGATTTTCCAATGCCCTATGATTTGTTACTGGTTGTCTGTGGCATTGTATGTGTCTGCAAATATTAAAACAATTGCAGCTGAGATTTGATATTTCTACGAGAGCGGTCTGAAATATTAGAAAACCTTGCTGAAACAGGACACTACATCATGTATGCCTGTCAATGAATCAAATTAATATCTGCGACCATACTGTGAATAAGCTAGTTCACTATAAAGAACATGCTGAGAGTGTATTTTCAACTCCAAAACATACATATCTATAACATCAGTATTTTCTGTCATGTAGCAGGTCGATGAGAAGAGAGAGCGCCTGTACAGCTGCTCAAGATCTAGGGTGTGGGTCGCCCCGCGGGGCACTGGGTGAATTCATATCAGAAAGGTGTGGGCTCTGGTAGCTAAAATCAGCTGCTAGCCAGTTGTCCCCATATTGGAGCTGACTATAATAACAACAGACTGTAAAAAAGGGGTGCAAATGACATCAGACTATTTTAAGACTCAACAACAGAACTCACACTTTGACAGAAAATATGCAACAGCCTGCAGCTAAAAATGCTAACAGCAGATGATCAGCAACACCATAGACACTTGAAGAGAAACAAAATTTAATGAAAGCTGTAAGAGACTTAAGAAACTACAGAACAGTAAATATCTCAGATGCACTACCAGAAACAGCAGCAAAAAGCAGAACGTATTTATTATGAGACATATTACATATATAGGACCAATAAAATAATTTTTTCTAGTTAATAGCTCAAATGAAAATACCAATTTTTCCAAGCAATGAATAAATGATCAGTGATATTAGACCCACATCACATCACATGGGTGAACTCTTCTCTGCTGTTTCCATGGCATCAGATAAAGACAAGTTTGAAACAGATCACAAGGAGGGACAATCCTACAAATGTAAACAGCCTAATCATGAACACATTCAAATTTACAATATGACTAGCTGATATTTATAAGAGTTGCCAGGTAGAACTCAGAAGTCATTCTAAGAGCTCTTTTCAATTTAGACTTTGAGCAGATGGTAATATTTACATTTTGATATTAGTATTTACATACTGTAGTGTTTCCCCTGCCATTATATTAGGGGGGATATCTAACATCGTTTCAGAAAGGCAGGGCATAGAGGAGAAACAATAATGTACATTATGTGGAAAATAATGTGTTTTTTTACCTTAAACCGCATAAACACATTTCATTACACCAAATACACAAATAATGTTCTTTTTAGCAACATCATATGACTTTAAAGTTCTCTATGTGTAGAAATAGCCATTTAAATAGATATAATCATAACAACAATGCATCTCACTGCTGTAACCAATAAAAATGGATTCTAACAGTTTATCATGTTTGGTGTGACTGTGAGCTAAAAATGTATTTAAGTACTAATGCGTTGTAAAAAAAAAATCAAATGTGATTAAGTCTAGATTATCAAACACACTTTAAAACATGGCTAAGTGATATAGAAAACATGTAACTGACAGATTTCCAGCAAAGACAACTATACTGTAACAGGGCTCGCAAAATGTCAAAATCCCTGGTAGCCCTTCGGGGAGGTACTCTTCAGATTTTGGTAGCCCGAAAATTATTTTAACTAGCCCAAATAAAAAAAATACCTTTTTTTTTAATATAGAAAATCAGATAAGAGTTTACATGTCAATCAAAAAATATTTTCAATACACAAATATCAACAAATATGAAGGAAATAATTTTATTTCACTATTTACAGGGTATCTGCAGAATTTTTAAAAATAAATTTAAGGCAATTTATGAACCATTTTAAGAGCTGCACAAGTAAAATGAACACAGTATGAGTGGGGTTGGACAATGTCTGTGGTAACATACAGTATTGAGCCATAAAATTACATGATTTACAGTTCAGATACAGGTTTTCACAAAAACAAAAATCTTATACAACAGCATTTCAGCCTTCAGACCCAGTCGGTTGCCTTCAGATACATTCAAATAAAGACATCCGCACGGCATTTTGACTTGAAACATGCAGCGCTCATATTTATTCAATTACATCATTGCCTTTTGAAGTTTAATCCAGCCGTATCGCGACGCTTGTCTTTCCGTCCCCAACTGTAAGACCTCTTGAAATTATAATTAAGACATTTCTTATACCATTTAACATATTTAAAACTTTTTTATGGCCTTAAGTTTGATACAACTCACTGTAGGAGTTTTTAAGGACCCGCGGGAGATCTGCATTTAAGATAGCCCGTCGGGCAGAGTGGTGATACATTTTGGTAGCCCGACTGGAAAACACAATAGCCCCGGGACGTCGGGCTAGCGATTTTGCAAGCCCTGTGTAATATATACCATTACTGTGATATAAAATGACTCATATCACGTTATTCTTCATACCGCCTCTAGGTTCAAGTAAGGCTTGAAGTTACAAAAGAATTTCATTTGTGCTGTATTTACAACATCAAAGCCTGTTAAATAATCATTCTTCTTTAATTTGGCAGATTAAAGTTTTTCTTTCAGTAAAAGCAAAAGTTGTTTCTGAAGGGTTAATCGCCTCACCTGGTTTTGTAGCGAGTAGCACTCCCTTAATTCAAACACCACACCTTAATCTACATGACTGCAGTTAGCAACCATAGCCGCAATTATTTCACAACTGCAGAGACATTATTCCCCAGAGTGATGGCAAAACTTCACTGCATCAAATACTTCCTCTTTACAGGCAAAACACACCTACACGTCACACCAGACGTACAGAAAACCTCTTTATGCGTGCAAACTGTACTAACAACAAATAAAGACATCCTTATGTTACACAAAGCCACCCAAAACCTCTAAACAACCAAAGAAAACCATTGAAAGCAACCGTAAGATTGCCTAAGGGAGAAAACAAGTTATGACCTAATACAATGTGCACTTGCATCTGAAAGTAGAACTCAGTGAATCACCAGCATTAAACTCACAATAGCACGTTCCTGGATAATACGGCGTGGTGGAATATGTTCTGCTGCTTTCAACAGGATTATTTTACACTTTCATTCACATATGACGCTGTGAAAGCAGAGCCACACTAATGCATATACCTGGCAGCTAATAACCTCGGACATCCAATTTCACAAGCCAGACCAGAATTAAGAGCTGTCATTTTCAGCATCAACACATGGAGCATAGAAATGCCACAGCAATATTTTACTCCTGTTTACCAGACAGCGCAATGTCATGTGTGAAAGTCTCAAACTGTTCATCTGCTGCTATAAAAATGCTCTGTCACCTTTCACGAGAGATGTTATAGGTCATTATGACTGTGATAGTGACTACATGTAATGGCAAACAATCCCGTCTTATCTGTCTAATGTCACATAAACATCACTTTGTAGATCAGAGATGCCCAATCCTTTGACTTGGCACGCCATACCATAATCACAAGAGGGAGGAAAAATGCCATTGAAGCATAGGCCTATATTAATTTGATTGTTTTATTTTAACATTAATTTTTTATTCATTTTTGCATTGAAATGTAGAGAATCTAAATTAATTTTATTTAAAAAATGCATTATAATATAATACAACTAGATATAAAAGGACAATTTTTCTGTCCACAGCCCTCAATCAATTTAGATATTTGGTAGTCAAAAATGCGGGTACCTCTGCTACAGATTATTTATAAGAAAACATATGGCTTCAACATTACTTTAGCCTATATATACACAGTGGCCCAAAATATCTGGACACTCAAGCCACACTTGGGCCTAATGTATGAATCTCACCGCATCAGATAAAGTATCAAACCAAGCATAATTTATTTATATGAAATATTGTAGTACAAACATGCTTTATGTCAGTAGTTCTCAACCAAGGGCCCTGGATTCAGCAGAGGGCCTCAGTAAACTTCCAAGGGTGATTTAAAAGTACTCAATTACATAATTTAATATTATTCATTTAATTAATTATATTATTATTAATAAATTTAAATAATCTAACTTAATTAAAATACTAAAATATATATATATATATATAATAAATAAAAAGGAGGGAAATCTTTTTTTTTTATATATATAAAAAAAGATTTCCCTCCTTGATATTATTTCTGTTTATCGCTCAGTTTGTTAATAAAAAATTTAACTTAAAACAAGCCACTTTGTCATAATTATAGTATAAATACTGGTGGAAATATCTGACCTTATATGTAGGGAGGACCAATTTGAAAGAACCACTGCTTTGAGTAAAACATTCACCAAAAAGACAGTTGTTTGTTTTGAATGATAAAACAATAGACTAATGCAGAGACACTAACAATGAAATGAAATTAAAATTAAATGTATGCATTTAGCAGACGCTTTTATTTTATCAGTATGTGTGTTCCCTGGGAATTGAACCCACAACCTTTGCGCTGCTAACGCAACTAATGGGACTTTATTGTAAAGTGTTACCAAGTTACCAACTGGGGCTTTTAGCGTCTAAATACTTCTGGGTGGCACAGAATGTATATAAGCCTACTGTAGACAGAAAATCCTAATAAATCAAGACAGCTCGAGGTGCATTTTTCATCTGCATGTCAAGCCAATCTGACCTGTTCCGCCTGCCGAGAAAGCTAAAACACCCGACTTACCTTTCCCGTCTTGTGGTCGAACCACACCAGAGCGTGATTCCTGGACAACACCTTGCAGTCGAAGGTGGCGTTATTCTGGGCAGGGCGACACCGGGCCACGGAGCGCCCGATCTTGACCGGCTCATCCAGGTAGACGTGACGTTCCTGAAACGGGTGTGAATTCGGGCGACAGGTGAACACGGCCAGCGCTGAAGGCATTGAGGACGGCTTGGGAGTGCTACTCCAACCAGAGACGAAAGACAGGGTTTCTTGATCCAGACTGGCCTGTTGCTCCAATTCTCCTATCTTTCTAATGAATTATCAGGAGAACAACGCACATAGTAACACGAAAAACTCTAAGAAAAGACGAGGCTGTCCTGTTGACCGACTTCATAACGTCAAAATGACTAGTTAGACACTATGTAGACGACTTCATGCCCCCTAGCAAGACCCCCATGATGCCAAACCAGCTGCCCAATTCCATACAAATCTGTTTTTTAAGATGACAGTCCACAATTTGAGCTGTTACACCTCGTTCCCTACACAATTCATCCTCATCCCCCTTCACAACCATAGGCCTGGCCAAAAAACAACGCTAATATAACTAACAACCTGTTGGACCAGCTAATCTATCCTCCCCCAAAAATAAGACATGCGTTTCTAGATTAACTGGCAATGACTTCTATATTAAAGGGCACAAAACGCACTAACGTAAATGCTAAACCCTAATGAAGATTAATAAGGTGAGTGGGTTTGGCTGAAGTATGCAGGACAGATCATCAACCCACCACTCCCCGAGACAGCTCAGTCATTCAATATGAAAACAAAAGCTCAAAGACCTGATCAACCCGACATCAGAAAGCTTTTAACTATCCAAAATTCATATAAACCGCTCGCTCGGAGGATGTTTTCTTGCACACGAGAGCGTTAGCTGGCTAACTTCATATTAGCTCGTTAGCTTCGCTGAGGTAACGGTGGCCTTTTATCTTCTTCTTATGAAGCCGTCCGGACTGGAAGAGAGTTTATAAATAATTCCAAATGGATTTATCCGGGGGAGAGCAGTTATTTCTTTCGTCTGTGCAACTTTCGAGTGTGGAGAATTTGCGAAAATCCAGTATTAGCTCGCGAGCTCGATACCTAGCTTAGCTCGCTGAGAGACGCGATAAATTCCCCAGAAAACAAACTGGTAAACGAATAAAGTCCGTGACACGGTCCCGCGATAAGCCGTGGAGGTCTCCGCTCCCGGGGACACTGAAAACGGGAGGAAAAATCGCTGTGTGCGAGAGGATAATTGGAAGTAAGTCGTCCTCCTGTCGAGAGACACACACATACACATACACACACACACCGGTCACAAACCGCCGCGGGGACGCGCACCACCGAGAAAGGGGGCGGGGACTTTGCGGTGACGCGCCAACGGAGGCGGGGCTGCTGTGAAGACGAATGGCGTTTCCAGAGAAAAGGGTGACGTTTTTCATATGGAATTAAAATTGATGGTATGGAGGCCCAAACATGCAGATCCTTTTTAAATAATCAATCAATCAATCAATCAATCAATCAATAAAACTGTATTACAGACGCAAGGTCCAAATTTAAAAGACAATAGGACAACATATAAGTATAACATATAAGTAAGTCAATGAATAAATATACATATAAATACATATAAAAATAAATAATCAATCAAATGACTGTATTAGTCCTGCATTAGTTGGGACTTTGCACGCGCCAACGGAGGCGGGGCTGCTGTGAAGACGAATGGCGTTTCCAGAGAAAAGGGTGACGTTTTTCATATGGAATTAAAATTGATGGTATGGAGGACCAAACATGCAGATCCTTTTTAAATAATCAATCAATCAATCAATCAATCAATCAATCAATAAAACTGTATTACAGACGCAAGGTCCAAATTTAAAAGACAATAGGACAACATATAAGTATAACATATAAGTAAGTCAATGAATAAATATACATATAAATACATATAAAAATAAATAATCGAATAAATGACTGTATTAGTCCTGCATTAGTTTTTGTATTACTTTTTTCACTTTATTTATTAATGTATTGAATTTAAAATTTATTTTTAGATGTTGTTAATTTAATTACATTTATTTTTTGTGGTTTTACTGTTTCATTTATTTTTATTTTTGTTGTTTTTATTTATTTATTTATGTGTTCATTTGTTTTATATTTATTTATTTCCACATGTATTTATTTACATATTATTTATTAATTTATTTAAACAATTTATATTTATTTTGTATTTATCCTTACATTTGTATCCCCTATATTTCTATATTAGCCTACGCTAATATTAGTCTCTTTCATTCTTATTCTGAGGTCACCGTAGCCATACGGATCCAGTCTGTATCCAGACCAGATGGTGGATCAGCACCTAGAGACGACCTCTACAGCCCTGAATGTCAGCGGAGACCATGTCAACTAGATGTGCCAGAGAGACAGATCCCCTGCGAAGACCTCGTCACCTCATTGGCCATCAGCACAAGACCACGGGAACCAGACGAGTCCTCTGCACAATCTGACCTGTGTTGCAGCCTGGAATTAAACCACGCCTTGCTGGTTTCATCAGGCCAGAGGAGAACTGACCCCCCGACTGATCTTGGTTTCTCCCAAGGTTTTTTTCTCCATTTCTGTCACCGATGGAGTTTTGGTTCCTAACCACTGCTTAGTTTGGGACGCTTGAATGATTGCACAGACACTATTGGAAGAGAGCTGAACTGGAAGACGACATCACTGAATCATCAATGAACTGACTTTAGCTGGAAAATGACTCTTTGTTATTGTCCTTTTGCATTATTGACAAACAATTTTCCTGTTTGACAGAGCTTTAGCTGCTTTGACACAATCAGTATTGTATAAAGCGCTATAAAAATAAAGGTGACTTGACTTGACTTATAAAAATGACCACAGACTTTATGATTATAAGGTAAATTAGACCATATTCATGAGGTGCTTGCTAGAATGCCTTTTAAAAACAGCATTGAAGGAGTTCCCATGAATGCTGGACACTTTTCCTTCACTATCTGGCCCAATTTATTCATTTTAAAAAATCCAATAAGTAAGATGCCAAACTGGAAGGGTTTGCTTAATATTCATTGACAAAACAGCTCACTTAGCAAGCACAGACAGCACAAAACAAATGCATATTGGCAAAACCAAAGCATTTGGAAGGGGCTTCTAGGCTCCCAGTAAAAGTACAAGTTATTTATGGAGTTCAAAATCATTCCTGGAAGGAGGAGTGTTTCAAAGCTAACTCCACCCCCAGTCCCTCTGATTGGACTTGGAATCTGTGGACTAAATTAAATTACACTGAACATCTGTCACACCAAATGGAGCATGCTGATTTTACTCTAATGTCTTGCTCAGGCTAATCCAATTGCTTTGTCTTGGTTCTTATGTGACCCATAAGAAGTAATTAAGTGATCACTGTTGGAACATCTATATGCAAACAATGATGTGGTTCAGTGATGCCTGAGACTTTATATGATGTTAAAGTGCCAGGCCACCATATGAACTCCATTCTGCTCTGCTCATTTGATTGAAAATAGACAACAGAGCCTAACATGTTATTACTTTCAACAAGTGTGCCACAGAAACCACATATTTCATAAGCCTTCCAATAATATTAAGCTGAAACCAAACCATATTTGACCTATCGGATTGGATTAAATAAATTACATTAAACAAAATTATGCAAAGATGGAATTCGGAAAGGATTATGTTTTTCTCAGTTGCATGAACTGAATTAGAATAAGGATTTAAGAATTTATGTTTATTGGCCAAATTACACTATAAGCAATTTGTCTGGGGGGGTTGCTATCTATAGTTTGCAAAGAGCATACTTCTTTTTATGTATATGATATTTTTTTAATAAAAGAAATAATTGCATAGTGTATTGTTATGTACATTCCAAAATGTCATTCTGAAAATAAAATACACCATTTTTTTATCATACGAGAGTTAGAAAGAATCATCAACCTAGTAAACACAAGAGGCACCGTGGCTGCGTGCGCGCTCCCGTAAAAATCCCGACCTCACTTATGACGTTAGCACGCTGTCGACGCAAGCTCCGCCCCCTTCGTCCTGGACGCGTTTGTATTTACAGCTCAAGTTCCTCCAGCTTTCATCAATAAACCGAGTCCGATCACACCTGGACCGAACTGAGGGTATCACCATGGCCTTTCAGGGGTCTGAGGGACTGGAAGAACAGATCGAGGAGCCGGAAGATACTCTGAGAGTTTCCCCGGCGGAGGAAATGCCCGTCGATGGGCCTCCAGCAGTAGAGGAGCCGGAGCCGTTCCTGCTGCCGTGGGACCGCTTCTCCTCCTGGCTCCACTGCATCTGTGTGGTCGGCTTCGATCTGGAGCTCGGGCAAGCTGTGGAGGTACAGCACACTGTCATATTAGTGCTGTCTGTTCGGTTGTCATCTGTGAGGTAGCTAGCTAACTGTGTGGAAGTCACTGTTGTAAATAATAAATAGTTGATGAAATGCGCAAATGCATAGATTTGAACATGCATGAGTTGACCAATGCCTAAACGTTTAATATTTTATATCCAGGGTTATTATAGTTAACTAGAACAAAAAACACAAAACCATTTATTGTACTTGAAATAAGATAAATGCTAATTGAAATAAAATAAAATATAAAAAATTTAAACTTATTTTAATTCAGCTTGCTTCCAAGGAAACATTTCTAATTTTCATTTAGTTTAACTTGATGTACTTAAACTAAAACTGAAAAAAAAAAAAAAAGGCAAAAACACACAAACAATTAATTACTAACATTTTAACAAAACAAAAATAAAAACTATAATAGAATCTCATTGATACTAAAACGTTAATGTATTTTTAAAACCTGGCATAAACTTCAATCACTCTCCATACTGTATGTGAGTATTACTAGTGCTCAAAGTGTCTGTTTTGTGATTAAGCGGTGCAGTCGTAGTATGTGACTTGTGTTTTCCTGCGGTTAAGGTTTGATTTAGAGCACTGTAATTCATCTGAGTGAGTACTATGACCCGTGTGTCTTATGCTAATGTGTGTGGGATGAGAGTTTGACATCCTCCCTCTAGCAACACCACATGCATATTCAGAAAGAAACTCTCAGCGTGGGTTGTGGAGTATCTGACTCTTCTGTGTTAGAGATATTAATGGACCGTCACTGACTGAGTAGGTCAGTATCTGCGATTGCACACTTGTAGTTGCTTTGTAACAGTGTGTATTTTGATGAAAATTGATCATGTGAGTTTGTTTCTTCATGGGAACAGATTCTGAGAAAGGTAGCTTCACATCACTTGCTCACCGATGGATCCTCTGCAGTGAATGGGTGTTGTTTTCCACAGTATTCAATTCAGTTCAATTCAAGTTTGTTTGTATAGCGCTTTTCACGATACAAATCGTTGCAAAGCAGCTTTACAGGAAATTATCAGCTGTGATAAAAATGGCATCTCTGATCTTCACACAGATTCAGCTCTGCGTGTTGCTTTAGTTTGTAATTAACTTGGGTTATTAGTAGCGATGCGGTACAAACGAGGTGGAACAGGATTTGAAGATTACGGGACAGTCGTGTTCATGACTTTGTAAATACGCAGACGCTCTTATTCTGCATGAGTGTGTTTGTGGAGTTCACTCACCGCTAGTGAATCCACCAGTGAATGTCCTGTGATATTGATCATGTTCTCGTCTTTCTGAAACTGGAGAACCTGATGTATGAGCAGACATCCTATCCCATCATTCTACTCACTTCAGCTCTTCTACAATACGATATGCTATCCTACAGGATGTAGCATGTCTTGTTGAAAGCGCAGATGTGTATCATATTTTACAAACTAGTAAAAAGCAATCTTATCAAATATACATACATATGTGTGTGTGTGTGTCCTGTTTAATTTTATTTTTTCTGAGCAAAAACAATAATGACTATCATACATTTTTACTACGATTTACAGAAAAAATGTCATTCAGTGTAACAATAGTTTAAAGGGGTCATATGATGCTGCTAAAAAGAACATTATTTTGTGTATTTGGTGTAATGAAATGGACTGTTTTTCACAAAAGTTCAATGAAACATTCAAATTGACACATTTTATTTGCATTTAATATGTTTTTATGTATACAAAATCACACACACACACACACATATATATATATATATTAAATTGATTAAAGAAATTGATTAAAAATTACAGTAAAGATTTCAATCTCAAATAAATGTATCATGGTTCCCACAAAAAAAAAAACATATGAAGCAGCACAACTGTTTTAAAAATAATAATAATAATAATAATAATAAATGTTTCTTGAGCAGCAAATCAGCATATTAGAATGATTTCTGAA